AAAGCCATTAAAAATTGTAATTTTTGTCTCATTTAGGCTATTGAAGAGGAAGGAGGTGATCCAGATAATATTGAAATAAGTGTTTCGGCTGACACACCCACCAAGAAACCAACTAAAGGCAAAGGTTAGGATCTGTTCATATACCTTATATTCTTAGGTAGTTTTCCTTGCATGTATCACCTTAAAGAAGGGCGGTGGGACTGTGGCCTGTAGTTTGGATACAGCTGACATTTTACTGTTTATGACTTACATCATACAAGACGTTTTTTGCCTCACTCATCTGTTTTCAGTCACTGTATATAGGCAGCGTAGAGGGATGCTGGAGATATATATACACATGGAAAATGAGTGGGTTAGGAGATGTGGGGTATGAGTAGTGGCTGTATTGCCTGCAGATCCCGGAGATGAGTAGATGAGCTGTGAGGGTTTTGGAGTGTGCTGTGTTAACAGAGATCCTGAGTGTGGGGTGTTACAGGTGCAGGGTGGGTACAGGAGCTGCTGTGGGGCTCTGGTGCTGGGGATGAGTGTGTGTAGTGTCTGAAAGGATCTGTGTAACAGCAGAGGGAGAGCCGAGGGGTTGTTCAGCCATGAGAAAGTGCTGGGCCGAGGCTGGTGACGGGTGTGCAGTAGTACATGGTAGAGGAGCCCTCCCTAAAGAGGACTGTGTTGTGTGGATTTATTACCATGCTTTTTACTGAAGACAGGATTAAAAACATGAATTTCCTGAGTGGGAGCTGAAGGCTCGCTGTGAAATGTCTGATTAAGAGATTTCAGTTTCTCTGCTGTGAAAAATAATTCCTTAGGTTCTATACCGGTCTGTTTAGCAGTGATTTTGTTGTGTCTGTTTTCTTTTGCCTGAGAATTAAAGTGTTGTTTTGTGAGTTGGGGCTCTAGAGGATTTTTGTTTGGGTTTTTGTTTTCAGTTTTTCTGGGAGCATCCGTAGTCAAGTAATTCTGGGAAAGGACATGTCTGTTTTGTGCACAGCGTTCATCATTGAACATTTACACTGAGAATATTCCTCCATATGCTATAGGGACCTGTTTTGGAAATGAGCAATCTACACCACCGTCACTTGTCTTAGGCTGAGTTTTACAGTGGAAATGGTTATTCATGTTTTTGTCTGGTGCTGTGAAGGGTGAAGTAATAAGAAAATCAGTCTGCTTAGAAAATTTGAATAACTTATCAGTACTTTTGACATTACAGAAGTGAAAGGAAACAAACTTTCATCATGTGGTTTCCTTTTCTTCTGTGGCATTACTTTATTCTCTGCTTTGACAAGGTAACTAATGCTTGAGAAAACTACTTGGAAGCTAAATAAGAAAAGCTTTTCCACAATTTTTCACGTAGAGATCTGAATGGCTCCATGTTCTGCTGTGACAAACACTTCTCTTATCTGCTACTTCTTCTCCTCCTGTTCTTCAAACTAATTTCAAGATATGCATAATGTTCTTGAACTGGCTTCTTGAGTAGTTACACTGTTCTGCTTCTGCAGAGGTAGTTTGCCAAGTAATGCTGCTGCTGCCTGGGGCAGGGCCTCAGTAGCTGTTCCCTGCCACCTCTGCTGTGGAACTGAATCATGATGCATTTGACATGTGCCTTCTTGGTAAACTTCAAAGTAAAATACAGAGTTTGTGAAGTCCTTATCAGCTCACTTTGCAAGCTCAGGAGTATCACCTCATTACTTTTTAGATTACGAAAGTCTTACGAGCGAATTTTGTGCCAAATTTACAGAGGTTTGTGCTGTATTAATCGTCAGTTGTGGACAAGAAAAATTCACTGATTAGTCCATGGAAAATTTTTTTTATCTTATTGGGTTATTTCCAACTTTGTGAAATAATGTATTGTTCGATTTTTAACTGTTCCTTGTATGTGTTAATCTGCTGATTCAAATGTTATTTATCTCCCTCTCTGGTGCCTTCAGCTGAAATATGTTACTAGCAACCAGGAAGTATTCCTCAAAACTTGGAAATTTAACACTTCAACAGTCCATTCCCTCGTGTGTCACTAGGGAACTTTCAAAGGGAGATGCGTGCACATCAACTGAGTTCTGAAGGACCAAATTTTTATTTAAAATTAACCATCTTCACTCTCCTTGTGCTTGTACATGCTTTTCACTGGGAGAAGTGTTGCCTCCTTACTGGTTTTGCTGACAGATTGCTCCAGGCCTTTTGCTAATGCTTGTTTCCACCCACAGCTTCAGTCTAATACTGATTTCTCTATAATTATTTACTGCTGGACAGCAGTAGAATTCACAACCTTACTAGTTTTATAGTATTTTTTTCCCCATACTGTTACTGCTGTACAAAGGAGGGTAGGAATGTTAGATATTGATTTAGGAAGAAAATACATCTTCAGAAAAGGCCAGGGAGTTGAAGTGATGGATAAATCTCCTCATAGCAGCCAGAGAGAAGAGAGGCCAGTGGGAGGGAGGAAGGGGCTTTCCTTCTGAAAAGTCACAAAGTGTGTCAGATGTGGCTGTAGGGCTTAGAACTGAATGTCTTCTGTAGCCAGTTTTACTGCAGCTCTTAAGGTCTGTGGAAAATGTGTGATGTCTGATTCCCTTGCACTGTCTGTTAGAAAAACCTGATCAGGAATATTGATCCAGGCTGAATTAGAGTGGGAATGGTGTGTGTGTGGGGAGTGATACATTTTTCTCTCTCATTGCTTTTTTTGTGTGTATGTGTACAAAAAGGGAGAGAAATAGGAACAAGACTAAGAGTGGGATTTAGTTTCATACAAGTTAAAAAAATACTTGCAGAAGGATTCTGTAATCCAACAAGAATCCTTGATCAATCCTATATGCAAAGTTAGTCAAGATCTAAACACTTTTTCGGGAAGCTACTTTAAATATTTGGGGGAAAGAACTGCACAACAGCTCATCAGAAGAGCTTTCAGGTAAGATCAGTTGGTTTTGCCAGTTGAAGTTTGCCAGTTTTAAGATGGAACAAATGCCAAGTGCTGAATCTTTGTGTCCCAGCTGTGCTTCTCCACCCTAGAATTTAGTAGCTATGGCCAAATTTCTCTTTTTACAAAAAGATGACAGTTTTTGGAAAAAGCATCCCTTTTCAAGCCTGAACATTCTGCTGCCTATTCTGGTGCATAGAATGTGAAATGTTTTTTCAAATGTTTTTTTATTTAGCTTCCAGTACTACTGATGTGAAATATTTTTAAACGGTTCTTATGTAAATACTCATTTGGAGGACCTGCAGTCAAAAATGTTGTTGAATACTGGTATATTATAATTTGGTGAAAAGATACTTTCCTGGCAAGTTTTGGAATTAGTGTGGTTGAACTGATTTTAGGCTAATCATTTTTAACCTCAGAGGATTAATGTGAGCAGAGAGGTTTATTTGCTGCTCTACAAGTTTCAAAGGCCAGTTAGACACCTACTAGTTTGTGATTTAAGTACCACTCTGGTTTCCAACTGAATTTCCAATTTGACAATACTGTTTCTTAGATCAAACACAGACAACTGACAGGGACTGGCTTATACTATTGCCCAGATGATTCTGACTTCTTTATTAAAACTGTTTAGTTACTTTAAAAAACCCACAAAAACCCAAACACAACAAACCAAGCTAAACTAAGTTGTACACTGTTGGTCTTCAAAGGCCTTTCTTCTAAAAACTGTGAATGACTAGGAACAGTATCCTGCAGACACTGTAAAAGGCTTAAATATTCTTGTTCCCCATGGTACCATTTCAGAATACAGAAATAGAACAGGATAATGTGCTTTTGTTAATTTTGTGGCAAATGATACTGCTCAGATTGCAGCAGATCTCTTAGTGCTGTAAAGAGCATCGTAGAGATTTTCTTCCCCCTTCCTCCTTTTTACCTCCTGTCCCATGTTTTTGGTGACTCTTTA